AAAAAAAAAAATTTTTTTAAAAAAAAAAAAAAAAAAAATTGTAGTTTTTTGTAAAATTAATTTTTTTTTTTTCAATTAATAAAAACCGGTTTTTCCATTTTTTTTTTCATCTCAAAAAAATTGCTTTCCCGTTACGATCGACTGACTCGATGACTGACTGGCTGACTGACTGACTGACTGACTGACTGACTGACTGACTGACTAACTGACTGACTGACTAACTGAATGAGTGACTGACTGATTGACTCGTAGACTAAATGCTATCAATTTTATTTAGAGTATAGTGCATCATTAACGCAATTATAAACACACATTCACATACATCCGCACACATTCACCCAGACTGTTCACAGACTCATTTGAACACTCAAATACACACTCAAATATATCCAAATATTTTATGTTCTTTTCAACTAATATATTTATATCCAAACATATTTTATGTTCTTTATATCATAGACAGACATATGAGCACAAAAAAAACACACACAAATACACAAACACACACACACACACAAAAAAAAAACTTAAATATACATTCATTTGTTTTTTAATCAAATATTCAAACACATCAAAACCAACACAAATTTGCACATGCACATGCACATGCACATGCACACACACACACACACACACACACACACACACACACACCACACACACACACACACACACACACACACACACACACACAGCACACACGCACACACAAATATAACACATTCACACAGTTTTATAAGCACAGTTTTAAAAGCAAGAAAAAAAAAACACATCTTTCGCCATATGTAACAATACATTTTTTGAGCTGCCGATACACATCAGAATATCCTATATTCAGCTGACAAACATTACTCAAATCGCCTTACTCGTTCAATCAGTCACAGCCTTGATACATGGATACATAGACCAGAAGCAAGCAAATAATCAACAACTATGCATAAAACATAATACATCAGAACAATTTATGTACAAAATTGTGCTATATTTTCAATAATTATTTTTTAACAGAAAATGTATAGGTGAAGAAAACAACAACAACAGCAAAGACAAAATATAATTTACCATTTTTTTTCAATTTTCTATTTTTCAGTTATTTCACCAAATACAGCAGCAACAGCAACAGCAGCAGTTGCAGCAAATAAAGATAAATATATTCTACAAGAAGACAAAAAAAAAAATCAATCATCAACTGTTTTTGGTGCTTTAAGAATTGGTAAGAAAAAAAAAATTTGGAAGAAAGCGAATCAATAATATTGTTGTCTACAAAATTATCTTTTTTTAAATGTATCTAAGTTTTACTTTTTTCAACTTATTTATTTAATTTTGCCTACATATGTTAAAGTTTTACATAAATAAGAAGAAAAAAAAAAGAACTGGAAAAACACTTTTTTTCTCTTTTATTTCAACCATATTTAAATGTGGGGAAAAAAAAAAGGTGATCCAGAAATTGGTTTGGTAAAAAGCTCCGTAAAAACACGGTAAGCCGCAGCAGTATTGGCATCGGCAGCAGCAGCAGCAGAAACTGTGGAAAACAGAAAAAGCAATCTGTTTCAAACTACAGGTAGCAGCAGCAGCAGCAGCAGAAACTGTGGAAAACAGAAAAAGCAACTTGTTTCAAACTACAGGTAGCAACAGCAGCAGCATAATGACGATGCATTTATTTGGCACTGTTAATATGTTAAGATTTGAACCAAATTCCAATCACAGTGCTTCTCACCATAATCTAAATTTTCTAATTTTAATTTTCATATCTTTGCTCATTAATTTCCACTAGTAATTTTTCGCTTTTGTTTTTTCAAGTTATTATTTTGTTGCTTTTTTGCTTCACTTTTTGATCTCTGTTTTTTTTTTTCTTTACACGACTTCATTAAAAATGACAGTTTTCAAAATAAGTTCACTTGACTAATAAATTCAACTACTTGACAAATAAAGTTTTAAAAATTTTGATTTGATCTTTCATCACAAACCATAATTCTAAAGAAAAAAAAATATTTTTCCTTTTCTTTTCGTTGTTGAAGCTAATATTTTTGCTTCCCATTATGATAATGAATAGAAAAGATGAATGTACAGATAGCAGCATAGATAAACAGATCGATAGACAGATGTGTAGATCGATTAATGGATAGATAGACAAATAACTGATGTAATAATAAATCACTTTATAGTTGTTGTTGTTTTTTTTTTTTTTTTTTGCAGTACTTTATTCATTGTTTTATTGAAACTTAAAAGCTATAAGGCAGACAATTTGAACTTTCATTTTTGTAAAAAAAAATATGGCTACAATGTTTTTTGTTTACAGAAAACAAAATCGAAATCTTATGCATTAAAGTAGATTGGCTTAGTTTACTGCATTCGGTATTATACGTACACATAAACTTCAGTGTTTTGTTAAATTTAGAAATTATTAAAAGTTCATCGTTGCATTTGTGTAAATACCATTGTACTAAGTGACATTACGAATACAACAGCTTCATACTGCCGACAATTTCAGCATCAGTTCCATTTTGCTGAAGTGAAAAACAGACGACTGATTTTGCTTTAGCTCCTACTTGATCCTGGCACCACACAGTGTTCGTCTTTATGTCTCCTACAATTTCAGCTTCATGCAATAATGTACCGCTTGTTTGTGCATGGTAGAAGGAACAAAGCGAATTGAGGGAAAGTGGATAGAAAGGTGGAGGAATAGGAGGAGAGCAGCGGGAAAATGAAGGGCTTAAATTAGACCCAGTATTTAGGCACTTGCTTTTTGTTTCTTCCTACGTCTTCTCTACCTTTCCATCATCATCATCATCATCATCATCCTCCTCATCATTATTATTATTATTCCATCATTTACAAACCTATCCATCTTTATTACGATATTTTTTTTCAAGTGGGATTTTTGCTACTGAAAATCAAAATGATTGAAAATAAAGGAGATTTTTAAAATGTTCAGATTTAATCGGCAGCAGCTTATATCCAGTGAAAATAGATCGATCAGACGAATATTCATGGTGATTGTGTGCAGATTGACCAAACCAAGGCCGCTTATAATGGTATATGTTCAATGACGAAACAGTTAAAGAATCAACAGAGGATAATTTTTGAGTTGGGTGACAAATAAGCAAGCAAACCAAAAACAGGAAAAAAAAATAGAATACTTTCTTTTAACATATGTGCTTTAAAAAAATTGTTAATGGAAAGCATTTTTTTTTAGAAGCAACCTAAATCGCTCACACGAAAATTGCTTTGTAATATATCCAATGGATGACTAAATGGAATACTGTGTATACATTTTAAAAATAAGTAAATGAATGAATAAATGTATAAACAAAAAAAGCGAACAAATAAACCAACAGAAACCATCAAAAAAAACAGCAATAAATGTAAGGTTTCTAGAAAATTCGTGTAAAACAGTAATTTCAGATGTCAATTAACAACCAAAGCATAGTGACTGACATTTCAAAAAGCAAAAAAAAAAAGAAAAAAAAAGAAATCATTATTCTACACTACGAAAATTTGATAATTTGGTTTCCCCATATACTGGAAAAATAAAATAACCAGCTTAATCAAACAGCAACATAAGCACCACATATTATTTGCTATAACTATAGGCAATCTAAGTATAATAAAATCAGACATCTGAAATCTGAAAATAATTAGTGTGCAAAAAAAAGGAAGAAAGAAAGCAGGAAATATGATTGATATATCAATAAAAACAGAAATGCTTATCTGTAAACGTAAATGAATATAACAGGAGAGGATTACGAAGAAATTCATTTATATAAGCAACACATGGAAATCTGACTTGATAAAAAAAATATACTGCTTTTCTTATCAGTCGTTGTGAATGAATAAAGAAAAGGGAAGATGTTAAAGTGAAAAGATGGAATAAATGGATTAGGTATTGGATACATTTGAGATGAGATTTGTTACTTCGCTTGAAACACTGCACAAAACATCGAACAAAAGCACAGCACCACATAATTTGCGGGATGAACAGCACTGATACTACCAGTAATTATATGTGTATCCAAAAACTGGTGTTTTAGTTGTCATAGAAAGAAAAGGTCTTTTTTTTTCTCTTTTGAGAGGAGGGGATGATTAAATAGTCTCTAACAATAGAAAAAAAAAAAAAACAGTCGTCCTATACAAATAGAGGTCCGGCACACTTAGCAATAATCAAAATGTACAAATATATGTGCCAAGTTTTAGATGTCAAAATATTTCGCTTTTTTTTTT